TAATTTACACTTGGAGATGCTACAAATAACTCAAATTTTCAAGTGGCTGCCACACTATTATCAGCTCAGAGTAGCTGCCTTATCATGATCCTTCAATCTAAATAAGTTTGGGGGAAATCTGTCATCTACTGAATGTCCTTTCTCCCCAATTCATGCTAGCTTTCGGTAACTATAACAAAGAACCGGAGATAGTCAATTCCTTTTAAGCAGAAATTTTTATTTCAGCTCTCATTTTAAAGGTTACAGTTCATCATTGCCCCTTAGGCCTGTTGCTCTGGGTCTATGTTGAGAGAATAGTGCAACATGCTCGAAGGCTACGTGCTTGGTGGCCAGCAAGTTTAAAGAGAGAGAAAGCCAGGGGCTATATCCCAGGATCTCACTACAGCACAGTGGCACAGTCATCCTTGGGTAAGGCTTATACATGCTAAAAAGGATGCAACTGAAGAGAACAATGAACTGACTCAGCCATGGTCCAAGTATTTTTCAGGTTTTGTCTGTACATCAATCTTTATACAGGAACCTAGGAGGCTGCCTTGCAAGGGTGAGTCCTCTAGAACTGACGTGTCATCTATACAAACTTGAAATTTTAATTTTTATTTCCTGTAGGACACACTTCTAACCTATTGGGGTGACATTACTCCTAGTCCCATGCTTAAGTGTAGCCCAGAGACACATTATAAATAAACTCTTAGAAAGATATTTTGCAAATTTCCATCACAGTGGTGTCTGAGTTGGGTAGAGTTGGGTAGAGTACTACATGGGAGAACGGGCATCAGGAAGATGGAAAGGGTATAACAGTGGGCAGGATGGAGTTCGGGTGCCATCGAGATCGTGGCACATGTCACATGGGCAACATTTCACAAGAGATTTAACTCTCAGTGAAATTCATAGGTGATGGCTAATCGCTGAAAGTTTCAAAGGAGAAACACACAAGATCCAGTTGGAACCATAGATCATTCAGAGTGGTGGAGGAGCAGAGAGGAGAGGAGGGGCAGAGGAGGGGAGGAGCAGTGGAGTAGAGGAGGGGAGAAGGGGAGGAAGGGAGAAGGCAAAGAGGGGAGGGGGGCTCAAGGGAAAGGAAACTAGTGGAGAGTTTTGTTTTTAAATGAAATGTTCTGAATTTTGTAAAGTTCCAGAGGCAGAGAAAAGCACACAGACATGATGGCAAGCAACCCTTGAGAGGCAGGTAAGCTCCTGAGGTAAGAGCGTCGGAGAGACGGTCCTGAGGAAGAGGCAGAAGTTCTGCGGGAGCAGATTCTGCAGGACTGGGTAACGGGTTACACAGAATGGAAAGTAGAGAGAGTACATTCCATTTGAAGGCTCGCCTACTCAAGGAAGGGCAGCGGAGAGCCACTTTTACACTTTCTGTCCCGTTGTCATCTGTAGTAGCCACCCTTGCCATTTACCAGCTGAAGAACCAGGTTCTCGCAGAGTATAGAAAGCATTAGATTTAGAGCCTGCCCAAAGATGTGTGTGTGTGTGCGTGTGTGTGTGTAATATATAAACAACCAAACAAGCCCATCACCAGTCATTGTTCTTATGTCAATACCCTCTCTTTGGAGGAGAGGTGGCTCCACCTACACACACACACACACACACACACACACACACACGCACACACAGGCACACACACACACACACGCACACACAGGCACACACACACACACACGCACGCACATGCACCCCTGCTCTTCTAAGTGGTGTTGGTGGGAGCTTTTAGAATACTCAAAAAGTTGGGCTGCCATTTTTGACCCAGCAAACCACTGATACAAAAGCACGCGTCACACACATTTCAGCACCTCTGAAGTAATCCTGTGCTCCTTAGCAGTCACCCCTCATACCCACATTTTCCACTGAGTAAACGCAGTGCCTTAACTGAGCTTGCCTCAGGAATATCAATTTAGAGATGTCGGTGGGGTCTCCGAGGGCAACATCTGTATGTGGAGATTAAGGGAGATGTCTGTGCTGGAAATGAAACTTCGAGAATCACCTATCAGTGGGAGATGCTGGTAAACACAAAATAAAGTTGAAAAGACAGGGAGATCTCTAGGCTCCGGAAGAGGCTGACATTCAAGTCTGAATATACACAGGGAAGTGTAGTTTGTGCTTTGCGTGCACCGTTTCCCAAGCCATCTGATTGCTGATAACCACATGGGCCTTACTGTCTACAGAAGGCCAGATCTCTGCAACCTTCACTTCCCAGATTGACCAAAGGGAAGAGACAATTTATTCATAATCTTGTGCTATCATTTTCTGCAAGTTATCTATTACACTCTGTATTACAGTATATATGTGTATATTCTTTCTGTTTCTCTCTTTCTCTCCCTATATTATGCACACACACACACGCATATATACATATATATATATATATCCAATAGAATGCATATGTCACAAGGAAGAGCCGTTTGTTTGTCATACATGATGTGAGTTGATCAACTATCCGCCCACTGCAGAAACTGAAAATCCAGTGTCTGCTCAGTCCATGGGAATGGGTGTCTCAACATTCCAACTTGATACTGGAGGCCTGGAGGATGTCGGAAGAGCCAGTGCTCTTCAGCCCATGCTGAAAAACTAAGGACTCAGGAATCTGATGTCGGAAGTGAAGGACACCAGCAGCAGTGACAGAGTAGCCTGCAGGAGTAAAGGCAGGCAGCGGGGCTTTCCCTCAGAACTCTGTGTGTCTGGGCTGAGGGAGGTCTTTCTTCCTTCAGTTAATCCTTCCCGGAAGCTATCGCAGACCCACTTACAGGCAGACCTCTTAGTTCATCCCATGTCCAAAGACACACCCATTAAAGAAAATTTTCAAATATCAGATCTTCCCTATTTTTTTCTTACCAGTGGATTTCTAAGTCCCCAAGCCATAGGCAGATCTCATTTCTCTTCCTGGTCCCAGTTGGCCTCAGTACGTATGTGGCAGGAGGAGAAATTGATGTCTGCTGATGGGGGAGGAAAAGTCTCTACCGAGTCACTGATATAACATATGACCCTTATATTCATTCTTTGTGTATGGCAGACTTTCCCTGGGGAGACACAACACATGTCTACTCACCCCACAAAGGGAACCCCAACAGACCAAAGTAGGATTGCCCCGAAGTCCAATTTATCAAACTAAGGAGCTTTAATTGAGGTTCCTAACAAGGGTATGTGGGAGAGGGTACATACAGGGGTAACTCAAAGCAGCAGCTGCATCACTGAAAAGATCAGCCCAGCAGGTTGATGACTCCTGATGCGGCCTTGGTGCTTGCTACACAATTCCCAAGATGCTGGACAGTCTGAGCATCTCCTCAGCTGCCAGGCTGGTCCACCACAACCTCAGAATGGATTGCTCCCTTTTACATGGCTGGTGCAGGGCCCTGGAGAATCTCCCAAGATACTGTTCTTCCAGATATGACCCTTTGTTTACCTCCTACTTCTCATGAGTCCCTCCCTCCCTTCTAGAGGGAATATTTCAGCTCAAAAGAATTCAGTTCCATTTATTCATCCACTGGAAATAATAATAAATAACAATCTTAATAATCTTAAATATTTTCTTATTTGTATACTTACAGAATGCACTCGCAGTGTTGACAACTAATAAAGCAGTGTGAGTGCTCCTAAGACTCAAAAGTAGCTATACAGAGGGCTGGAGAGGCGGCTCAGTGGTTACGACCACTGACTGCTCTTGTAACATTCCTAGCACCTAAATAGCTGCTCACAGCCATCTGTAGCTCCAGTTCCAGGGGATCTGAGCCCTTGTTCTGCCGTTCATGGGCACTGCATGCATGTGGTACACAGACACACATGCGAAAGAAACACACATAAAATAAAAATAAATAAATCTCTGAAAAAAATTTAAAGCAATTATGCAGATTTCTGATAAAACCACCATTTGTCAAAACTAATTCTTCTTATGCTTGCCTTACCTGGTTGCTTTTTATAATTTACATTTTAGTTCATTTAGTGCAGAGTCATACATTTCAGAGTACTTTCTTCAAATCTGAGAGAATTGCCTTTGCTGGTTTTGTGATTCATTTGATCACATAGAATGTATAAATAAGACATTGTACAATAAGTGTTTTGAGGATGTTTTGTTGAAGATTTATACTATTTATGTGCTGGTGTGTGTATCTGTAATTGTCTGCATGGATTTGTGTGTGTGTGTGTGTGTGTGTGTGTGTGTATGAGTGCAGTACATATGGAAGCCAGAAGATGGCATCAGATCTACTGGAGTTGGAGTTATAGGCAGTTGTGAGTCTCAATGTGGATGCTAGGAACAAAACTCTCCAGGAATAGAAAGTGTTCTTAACTACTGAGTCATCTCTTCAGTCCTTTTATTTATTTATTTATTTTTGGATTATTTTACATTTTAGCCAGTTTGTGTGGCTATATATGAAAAAGACAGGTTTGACAATGGAATTTGACATTTGTCATCCACAAATGCAGTATCTGCCAAACTTCTGTAACAGTCAGCGAAGGTGTCTAACTTAATCCAGGTGCCGCTGAGCTGCCACACTCAAAGGCAGCATTATGGCTGGCAGGGCATATTTTGGTACTTCACGAACATTTGTCTTCGAATTAAAATGTGATGCACGCTGCCAGTTTGCTGTGTGTATTAATCAGCTCCTAAAACGCGCCCCAGAGTGATTTTTAGCACACACATGTAATAGCTTTGTAAGTTCCCAGTCGATTTTAATGCAGCTTCTTAAACTGTTTTTTTTTTTTTTTGAAAAATGCCCTTTTCAGCCCTAAACACACTTCCTAAGACATTCACAGCAGGAAGATAAAAGACAATTAGAACAAATTTATCAGATGACTCACCTCTACTGTTTGTGAAACATTTACATGAATGTGTAGCTAGAGAAATTAAAACTCCCACTGAGCAGCCAAGAAGAGCCGCAAACTGGCTGAGAGGTAGGGGCGGAAGAGACTACTTAGAAAGAAAGATATTTTAAGAACTTTAGCCAAACCCTTGTCTGTAACGACGCTGAGTTGAAAAGGGAAGGGGACTGAAAGGGGGGAAAAAAAGAGTTCAAAAATATTTGCATGAGAAATGTTAAAAGTTGGAACTTAAAACTAAAAGTAGAACAAGGTAAGGGACAAGGCCACGAGGAACAGCCCGGCGCTAGAAGCAATAAGACACACCACTCGGCTTCCTACGAACTTCTTCCTCAAGTTTTCTGTGATGTGCAAGTTGTCCACCAATGCCTCTCATGGCTTCAGCTCGCACCAGGGACAATTTCTTTTACTCTTTATTCTCTCTCTCTAGGGGATTGATGTGCTGTGGGGGAGGACAGCCCATTTAGAGCCACTTCATGCAGCAAAGCTGGCCCTGGAAGTCAATGGAATCGGTGAGTAATAAAGCTAATCCCCCGAAAGAAAGGTCTGGATAGGAGCTCAGCCCTTCTAGCTGGCTGGGCAACCCTCCTGAGACTGATAGAAAGATCAAATAAATCACTGTGTCTGTGGAGTACAAGAGAATCTGTAAAAAGTAAATGCTCTTTTTACACTAAACTTTAAAAAGTGTTTTAGGGTCAGTGAGATGGCTCAGCAGAAAAAGATGCCTGCCCTCCAAACCTAAGGGCCTGAGTTCGAGGCTCGAAATAGTTGAAGGACAGAATTGATATCAGCCAGTTGTCCTATGACCTCCACAGGAGTCCTCAAATAGATAGATAGATAGATAGATAGATAGATAGATAGATAGATAGATAGATGCAATAAAAGGTTCTAAGATCATCTCCATTAATTCTTTGAGAATTTTACACATTGTATCTTTTTTTTTTTTGGCAAATTCTGTATTAAGAGAGTATTCTGAGAGAAATTAGCAAAATTCCTGTCATAGTTATGTTGAGAAAAGAACAAAATGAAAGTGATTATGCAGGGTCATTTGTTTTTTTAAAAAGGGTGTCTCAGAACACAGACTGGGCTAACAAACAAGCACAACCGCCAAAATGCCCCCTGTCTTTCAACCCTGTCATAAGCTGTGATTCTGCTTCGTTTCCTTGGTAGGAACTTATCTTCGAAATCTAACACAATTGTCTAATTGGTGCAAAGTGGAAGAGGAAAGTTCTAGAAACATGGTCCCATGTCAGGCTGACTACCTTTGATAGAACAAAACCATCTCTCACAGTTATTACTTATCCTGAAACTTTCTGCCCCAAACTGATTTTGTGTGGTCAGATCCTGATGTATCTTGTCACATGCCTATAGCAGGGTCCTGGAGGATTCATGTCTCTCTTGCCTTACGTAACTGATTATTTTGGGCATCACACTGGAAAAGTGTATTTTGTTCCATGCTTTGGTCACTGATTCCATCACTGATAACATGTTGAAGTCCTCAAAATCAGAGACTAGATTTGTCAGGTGGATAGGGAAGCTTGTAACCTCCAGACTCTAGCATGTATAAGTAGATCAATGTCTGGGGTTTGCTAATGACATACATTCAAAAACAATCTAAGATTATCTGTGAGCCTAGTGAATAAAAATATCTAAATATACTTCATCACACCTTCAAAAATTGACAATGTGACTTGCTTTTGTGGGAAAGAAGTAAATTTCAGGTGCTGAACACTGGGATTTTCTGGATTTTTTCCAGTAGATAATGACATCAAGACTTTCTAATTTCTAACTCTCATACTCAAAACTTCACCAAAGTCAAACACACACACACACACACACACACACACACACACACACACACAGAGAATTGTATGATACTCATGAACATAGAAAGCAATGAGTAGCATGCAGTGTAGACAGGAAAAGCATGTGATTTATGTTGGCAAAGAAACTTGAGATGATAAATCTATAATCTATAATAAATATACAATATACAATATATAATATATAATAAATATACAATATACAATATATATATAGAGAGAGAGACCAAATTTTGGGTTCAGATTCCATCTGAGAAAATCTGACCTAATTTTGAACTCAAGGCAGGTACCTAGCATTAGTTTCCAAGCTATCCGCCAACAGAACCGGAGCCTAGCTCCAGTTATTAGGCTAACCCCAATAAGACATGTGTTTCCAGATTAATCTCCCCCAACAAACCTGCATCTAGCACCAATCTCCAGGTTATGTCCCCAACAAATTTGCGCCTTCAGGTTGCAAGCCCACCCTGCCAATTAGAAAGACATCTGAAGTTAAGTTTACAGTTTGGCTCCCAGCACCAGCCAATTATGCTAAAGACCGCAATTAGATGCTTGCCATGCTGGAAACACTTACCACTTGCTTGCCATTTTCTATAAAACCTTGCCTTGTGAGTGTTCCAGGCTCTTCTGCTGTGGGTTGGTGGTGGGCTGAGCTCGAACTAGCTCTATTAAAGACACTGGTGCGATTGCATAGGATTGGCTCCTGACTGGTCTTTCAGGATTCATCAAATACTTCCTTGACACTAATATATATGTATATGTATATGTATATGTACATGTACATGTTTATGTATATGTATGTATATATATGTATGTATGTATATACATACATATATATACATATATATGTATGTATGT